ATGATGATAAACTACGGGATTTAGATGGATTTAGGAGTGCCCCATTTTCAGACACAGCGATATTGATCGACGCGGATCATGGCGATTTCATTCCAGTTTGATTGATGGCATTTTGAAGTGCATATACACCTACTGATGCCACGACATAGCCAAATTGCACTCTTGAGGCCAAACAGGCAGACCTTTTGACCAAGATGGAGCAGAACCTTTTGGCGCACCAGTCCGGCAATTGCAAGCCATGTTCATATTTTTATTTCAAAGAGGAGCTCCCAGGGGGACTTGCGGACGGAATGCCTTGGAAGGTTCGTCCCAGAACAGTTGAGCCCCAGTGACCATACCAGTTACATGGCTGGAGAATCATCCCACGATACGCCAGGGAGCCACTTCAACTGCAACAATGCCAACCCTTGAAGCAACCTGACTTGCTTGTTTCCACTGACAATTCGGCTGGTTAAGATTATGGCAAGACTATGGTTTCCGTTTCCAGCCATTTCCAGCCCACTTTCCCATGGAAATCCATATCCGGCACAGACCAGCACAGCAGGACGGGTGCCGCAATGGTGACAATTGTGACTTTTGCCACTTCTGTTCCCCGCAAGCGGTGAAAGACTGCGCCTCGAAAAGGGCTTGGGGGGAAGCTATCATCTGGAAAACCCCATGGGAAAACCCCTGGAAAACAAAAACCAAAGTGAAACTGATCTCATCAGCCCAGAAGAGTGAAGAGGTAGGTCCGTGGTGGTGATATAAAATGATATAAACATATAGAAAGCTCTTCGACACGGATGATTGGACCTTCCGTTGGCATGGCTCACCCAGTAACCAAGTGTTTGCCTCGGGTTGGTGCTGTTGATGATGGCCCCAATCACTAGTCAGATGGCCATTGAAAATTCTTTCTAAAATGTATTCGAAGGCCCTAACTTCAAACTTAGATTCCAGCTCCTAAGTTCGGAGCTTCAAGTTCTAGGATTCTAGGTAGAGGCCGATAAAGGTATCAAAAATTATCCGCAGAAGACCAGCCATCAGAATGGCCAAAGCCCCAGGTAAGCGCGCCTTTAAGCGCGACGCTCGCCGAGAGAAGCGAGCGCAAGCAGCAGCAGGCTTGCGCAAGGTGCGCTGAAAAGTTGGGAAGGCGGTGATCAAGGGATTGAGTTTGCATGGTTGGGTTAGTGAATGGCAAGTGCAATAGTAATTATCATCCCATCCGAAATGCTGGTTTGATGGTGATTTGATGATGATTATCATGGTGATTTAATGTGATTCAATAGGAATTTCATGGTGATCTAATAGTGGGGGTTGAACCAACAAGAATTAGGGATATTGATGGGAAGGAAAAAGCAGGTGGTACCCTCTAGCAATTAATTTGTTACATAGCTATGGAAGCCATGGCGTATGTAGATATATGCTTTACCTAGTATCTCGTTGGTGATTTCCCAAAGCTATGTTAAATTCCGCAGGGTAGGAATCTATAAATAAATCTTTGGTTTCTGAGAAATATCAAGGTTTTCAAGACCTGGGCGATGGCCGGGTGAAACCCCATGGGTTTAACAACCACCAAAAAGGATTTTCCCATCGGTAATCAAACTTGGCAAGTGAAAATCCTACACCAACAGAGGTTTTAATGGGAAGATCATGGAGAAATGCCGGATTTTCCGTTGCAAAAGTCTTTTGGTTGAAAATGGGAAGGTCATGTATGAAAATGAAGATGTCACCAGCAAATTGTGGAAGATCATGGGGTTGGTATTAATCATATTGAAGGGAAAGGCAGCCATGCAAGCCGCGAGCCAGAGGTGTTCTCGTACATGAATGAATTTGGTGATGACTTCACAACGCAACGTGGGAGTTGGACTGGGGTAAGTATTAACTATCCCCAAAGGGCATCGGCCTTACTTCAATTTGGTGACTTAGTCCAATTTATCCAGCCATATCCAGCCCCACTGAAGGAACTTTCACGGAAACGCTACTGTCCTTGAGGTGGCCACCCCAAGTCGCAGATGAAGTGGTGGCTATACACTCAATGATTTTGGCTGTTAAGGCTTGTATCACTTTGTATCATCGTATGTAGCAGTTATGTGCTTCAATATTCTTTTTATTTCTTTTGTATCTTCTAAGTTGTATGTTTTAAGTGGTCACTGTCACGGATGCTCCCACTGTTGGTGAATAGCCCCGTATGATTTGCGGTCACCGTTGCTTGTCGGTGATCCAGCCCAAGAATTGGCGAAATGCCGCAGGAATGGATGAGACTTACAGCAGAGGTGTCCTGTAACATAGATTCGACACACACATATATATATAATATCTGGTTGGTGGTTTCAAACATTTTTCCCCACCTGCCAGGTGAGGGTTGTTAGATTTTATGTCAGTTGCCTCCTCCTCCTCCTCCTCCTTCTCCTGCCTCGTCCTCCTCTCCTCCTCCTCCTCCGCCTCCTCCTGCCTCGTCCTCCTCTCCTCCTCCTCCTCGTCCTCCTCGTCGTCCTCGTCGTCCTCGTCGTCCTCGTCGTCCTCGTCGTCCTTGCTCAACTGCGACCCGCGATCCACAGTGTTCTCTGCCGGACCTCAACCACGACCATCCACGCCCAGTGTTCCCTGCCGGACCTCAACCACGACCATCCTCGCCCAGTGTTCTCTGCCGGACCTCAACCACGACCATCCACGCCCAGTGTTCCCTGCCGGACCTCAACCACGACCATCCTCGCCCAGTGTTCCCTGCCGGACCTCAACCACGACCATCCCCGCCCAGTGTTCCCTGCCGGACCTCAACCATCCACGCCCAGTGTTCCCTGCCGGACCTCAACCGCGAGTATCCACGCCAAGTGTTCCCTGCCGGACCTCATGTAGGAAGATATGGGACAAAGAATGTGCAGAAGAAAGTTGGAAAGAATGTCAGAAAGAATGTCAGAAGATATGCCAGAAGATATGCCAGATAGAATGCCAGAAGATATGTCAGAATATATGCCAGAAGATATGCCAGATAGAATGCCAGATTGAATGCCAGAAGATATGTCAGATAGAGTGCCAGAAGATATGCCAGATAGAATCCCAGAAGATTTGCCAGATAGAATGCCAGAAGATATGCCAGAAGATATGTCAGATAGAATGCCAGAAGATATGCCAGATAGAATGTCAGAAGATTTGCCAGATAGAATGCCAGAAGATATGCCAGAACATATGCCAGATAGAATGTCAGAAGATTTGCCAGAACATATGCCAGATAGAATGTCAGAAGATTTGCCAGATAGAATGCCAGAAGATATGCCAGAACATATGCCAGATAGAATGTCAGAAGATTTGCCAGAACATATGCCAGATAGAATGTCAGAAGATTTGCCAGATAGAATGCCAGAAGATATGCCAGATAGAGTGCCAGATAGAATGTCAGAAGATATGTCAGATAGAATGCCAGAAGATTTGCCAGTAAGAAAGTGTATAAATGTCATGGTGGGGATCACACGAAGTAAAGTAATTTATTTTCCATAATATATGGGATAATCCTTCCCATTGACTAATATTTTTTTTCAAGATGGTTATTGCACCACCAACCAGATATATATATATATATATAGATGTCCTTTTCCTTTTGGTTGATTCATTGGGGGTTCCCCCATTTACCAACCTTTATTGGTAGCCGATAAAAAAAATACGAGTCACCGAGCCTGATTTGATTTTTCCTAAACGGGCAATATAGATAGCTATGTTGGTTTATAAACCCCTTGTCCTGTAGTTTTTTCTCACCCTTTGAGAATCTTTAACCCAACAATTGACCAAATCGATTAGGTCGTTTGCATATGATATGGTTTTATATAACCCCTAACGGGTACGGTATGTAACGCACAACTACAAAATCGATAAGGTATATGATACAACCAATATAATGACCATGCATAGTTATGATGGTTTCGATGGATTGGTTTATGGGAAAGACTACAGGAAACCTCAAAAATCATGGGAAAATCGATGGTTTCCGGTGAAGATTTTTGCCGAACAGTTCAGCCCTAACGCCAGGCTGATGGCGTTGGACCCCCCTATCGTCATCGCGTGCGTGGCCGCCAACAGCAACCAGTCCGTGGATATCAACCCCCTTTTATGGGGGTTTTCATAAATGGGGGTACCCCAATAGATGGTTGTTTTTTTTTTTTAATATGGAACATCTTATGAACATGGATGATTTGGGGGTACCAGTAGTTCAGGGGACCTATGTCCAGTAGTTTGGGAAACCTCCAAATAGAATCAAATCATGGTGAAATCATGACTATGACTATAACCGTGGGATTCGAACATCCGTAAGTTGGGATATGGGGCCCCTACAGGGATGTGGGAAAGCGAATCCCATTCGGAAAATGACCTAATGTTAAGTTATGTTACGGCCACACGCTACCGTTTGCCCGCTTGCCCCTGTCTCAAACTGGTTTCCGTCTCATCCTCATCATCATCATCATCATCATCATCCTGATCCTGATCCTGATCCTGATCCTGATCCTCGTTATTCCCCGAACCCTAAATGATCTAAATGAGAAGTAGATATCTGATCAAGGATTGCAAGAAGTTAATCTTTGAGGACCTGGAACAATGTTTTTGTTGGTCAAGACTCGCCTCCGTAGCGTAAGGTGACATGCTTGATAGAGATGTCATAGTGCCCCCCGAACCCCCTCCCTGCCCTCAATGTTGAGAAGTAGATATATATGTTCAGGGTTTGTAAGAACGCTATCATCGTAACAAGTAACAAGTGTCATGGTGCCCGCGTGCAGATCCCCCTGTGTCCTCGACAGCTGCACATCCTATCACATGTAGAGATAGGAGAACATGTCCATGTATATATACAACTGTTTACACATACGCGCAGCCACCACATTGTGTATATGAAATAATATGGGCAAACGACGGTGTGCGCGCGCGTAATGCTAGTAAAGCAATAGTACACCACCCCTATTTTGATGGTTCTTAAAGTTTATGCCATTTATTTCGTTGTAGTAAAACTGGGGATGGTTTACTTTTGTTTTACACACATTAAATAGAGAAATGGGATATCTGGATGAGGTCAACTTGTGTAAACATCAGCCACAAGATCCCGGAAACATGTTTCTTCCCACGAATTGCCAGGTGTCCAAACCTCTTCAATCTTCCACTTTCAACTGAAATTTACGAATGGAGAATTTTCCATTGCCATGTTTGATTGCTGAAGGGAAATACATGGCAATTGCAAGATCCGCGCCGCGCAGGGTTTCTTCCCAGCCACATTTCACCATTTCACTCCTGGCCTGCGCAGCGTGCATGCTCTTGCCTTAGGACTGCGTCTACAAACTGAAAGCATCGCTCATCGAGTTTCAAGATGTGACTCATCAAGGTTTCGAGATGTTTGCTGTTTCTCAAAAGAACGCCACAATTTACCATTTTTTGGGTGGGATTCACCGTCATAATATGGGTGGTTTATGACATTGCTTTACTAACATTGTCCACATTCACAATGCCGCTTGGAAATTGCAACTCCAAAGATATCACGGTGAATCGGTGAATGTCCAAGTTTCTTGCGGAGAAAAATTGGCAACCCCTATATATCCCGCAATGTTGAACTCCGCCAAATGCGCTCCCAAAGTGAACTGCGAGCCCCACAAAACGATCAGATCCAATTCTGGATCGGGGTTTCTAGTGTTGCACTTAAAATCAGTGGCAAGGAATGAGTTTAAAATTCTGTTGAGGATGCCTGGTCCACCCTCCGTGGCCTTTGAATTGGCTCCCTCGGCTCAAAGTGTCTGATAGCCGGACCGACAGATGCTGTTGACAACTTCAGGCTGGTTGTTTGAGCATTCCTGGTATGCTGAAGCTGCGGTTTTGAGTTGACTCAGGGCGTCATTGACATACCTTGATGGTCACAACTGTAGTGACTGTAGTGCTTGTTCAGATGCTGGCCTGCATGGGGACATGTCTAGATGACCATTCTCCGCTCGCCGAGTTTGCTCGTGCCACGTCACCACGAGCGCACTGTTTGCGAACGGTGCGCAATGGAAGCTCCCCTGCTCCCAGCGAAGGGTGACAACCCCCACAAAACGCCTGTGTTCTAAAGGGCAATTCTGTGGAAAGAGGCCGTTTTCCAGCAAGATTTTGAGAAATCCCATTGAAGGCACCTTCCCAAATTGGATCAATGTGGGTCTAATGTGGGTCATTAATCCCATCCTCCTAAGATTTTGAACATCCCCTAAACGAAACCCAGGGTTTTTCAAAGGGAATTTCCGCATTGGAACCGTCCAATGGGGATGTTTAACCTTAGGGGGATGGGATTGGGTTTACCACATAATCATCCATTAATTGCACCCAAAATTGCCCATCCACTGTCAGATAAGACTGACCATTGCTAGCCGCCGCCGGCCACTGAGAGACAGCGCGATCTGTCGCGCGTGGCCCGAGTAAGTCACTTTTTTTTCTCATGGCCAAGGCTCCAATGGTTGAGAGATGCTGAAAGATTCCAGTGAGGTTGGAGCCCGCAAATTCTTGGGAAATGACAAAACGTGCGATTTTGGTCCTGCAGCTGGGTGATCAACATATTGATCTTGGCTTCAAAATGGACCTCTAAACTATGAATTCGTGAAAGCTTGGGGAGGCCTCCCACTTTTTCCCAGAGGAAAACCATGAATCAAATACCATGACATGATATAGAATGTAGAATTAGAATAGAACGGTTTTTAAACATCTACAGTAATTAAACCTGGCAATGGGAAATCCTCATTTGGGTCGATGATAATTTTGTTAAACCATATTAGACCTCCATATTATAGTTGATGAATCTGTTTCAGTTCAGTGGTTGCAACTTCACTGACGGCCGGATAAACGCAGCCCCGTTCAGCTGGCTGGCTTCAGGTACCCTTTGCTTGGCCGTAACCGCGCATTGCAAAACGGGGCCCCGCGAAGCGCAGCATTTCGGGGATGTCTAGCTGAGTGTGGGGATGGTGCGCTGTTGAAAGCCACCAAAGCCATATCCACAGATGATGAAGGCGTGTGAGTTTGTGATTACTTGGGAATATTTGGGAAAATATCATAAATCATCTGGTTTCTAAGATATGGGATATTTACTGTAGTTACTATATCATAAATCACTGGATATTTTATAATAATGGATGTTGGGATATATAATTCTGCTGGTTTCCTTTTGTCCCATCATCCATCCGAGGGCTACAGAGACCCCAATTTTGATCCACATCCCATTTGCGACATCCGAGCCGACACCATGCATGGTGAATTGAACTTCCGCGGAGGGCGCTCCGGTCCCAGTATAGACTGGTGGGTCCACTTTTCTGAAACCAACTGTCAGCAAGAATGAACACCCTGAACGGCCTGAAATTCATCAAAATGATTCAAAGATATTCATGTTGGCCCACTACCTGTGGAAAATGCAGGGACTTTTTTCGGAGGCCATCGTGCGGTGCGCGTGGGAGCAAGATCATGATTGAAGTGGATATCTGTTGGCTTGGAGACGGAGGAAGATCGTGGATGTTGACACCTTGGTAATCCAGTAGGTAACAGAGGAGATGTCACTAGTGGCATCCAGTGAAATCGCACGAAGGGGTGATTACGGTGAGGTTGTAGCATCTTCTACCATAGCCAAAAGCCGTACAATCTTAGGGACATCTTAGGTGGCATCCGGGAACGGAAGCATTCGCTTTGCTACCACGCAAACAGACAGCTCAAAAACAGACATAGCAGACTCTACCACTGGCGGACGTGGTCGCCGTGTACCGGGATGAAACCTGCAAGTTGAGGGAAGCTTGGACCTATGTTGAAAGCGGTTTGGATATGTTTGGATCCCTGTATCCTACCCTATCCTCAAATATCCTGAAATTCCGTGCTTTGGGGCTGCCATGCAGTGCCGCCAAGCGCCGAAAAATCTTCAGGATCATCCCAGACGTTGTGGTCGGTTGTGCTAAATAAGTCAGACTCGTCAAAATCTTCACGATTGCGCGACAGACGGTGAATCGCCTGGAAGACGGCAGACGTGGATTCACAGCTGAAGATGGATGAGCCCAAATGCTCCATGTGGGAAAGCCGGAAAAAAATCTGTCATTTGGGGATGGTTTGTGCTGAAAAAATGTCAACCCTGGATTAATAACCCCCGTAAAAACGGCTGTTTAATTGGGAGGGTACCATGTAAGTATTAGATGACATGAGTATTGGAGGAGTACCCCCTAATTGTCATAAACCATGGGTTTAGTCTCATCCGGGGTTGACATTACCAGCCATGACATGGTGCATGGGGATTGTTTAATGGTGGGTTTACCACACTAGACGATTGGGAGCATCAATGGCCCAATGGCTATTGATCATCCAATGGCTAGTCGTTTTTGGGTGGATGAACCCCTTGAAATTCCCTATGAAAAGAGGGGCAGTTTTGAACCCAGGCTCATGATAAATGACACGATGATATCCCTGCATAGCATATACCCTTACGGGGGTGGCTGAACCATCAACAACCCATTGATTCTGCATATGTTCAATGATTTTCACAGACAATTTGGTCATATGCTTATATTAATGAATTATAATGTGTTATTGTCAGTACTAAGATGTACATACTAAGTATCCTAATTTTTGGATGGTATCTGCATGTCATCACATGACATCACGTTGGTGTCGGTCTTCCCACCCGTTTTACCGTGGAGTTTTGCGATTCAGGGTCCCCTCGCGAATCAATGTGGTCCCTGGGTGTCATGGTGTGCTGCCAGCGGGGAAAACGCGCCGCAACCGCCGCATTTCTCGCGAAGGCCTGTGTACGGGGTCGCGCTCGAACTGCGACGGCGCATGGAAAAAGGACACAAATGCGCCAGGTTTTCCGATGTTTTCCTGTCAAAGAACTAGGCTTGATCGATCCTGATGGTGCATTTGTGACCCGTTCCCAGAATGAATGGGGAGGGCAGTCCTTTGACATACATCGCGCGGCCGCCTGGCAGCACCGGCCCACCGTGCTAAAGATGGGGTCCAGCACATTGGAGCTGAAGGGATAGGAGGGACCGGTTGAAGTTGGCAAGGCATCGATTCGACGCAACCACCTGAGATGGGCTGAGAACCATGGAATATGATGGAATATGATGGAATATGGTGTCTTATGATAATTATGATAGTTCAATGGCGAGTTTTCTTGGTATGAAAAGTTGACACAAAAACAGCTATAGAATGCTTGTCATCCCATTAGCCAATACTGTATGGGCCATGATCGTCCCTTGGCCCTTCGCGCCAAGCGTGAAGTTTGACAGGATCCCTAAGCAGTGAAATTGACAGTCGAGCCGTTTCGTGGCCCCGCGAACCGCGCGTGTTTGGAAGATGCCACGAGTGGCACCTGCCATGGACATCCCAGGAAATGCGGATCGGAATGGATCGGAATGGATTGGGTGGAATCCGTGTGGTGCAGCTTCGCTTATTTTGAATACGGTTCACATCAAGTTCAGGGAGGAGTTGTGACATTTCCCACTTCCATTTTTTTAATGAAAATGGACTGAATCTTGGCTTGGGCGATTTTTGACGAATGAGGCAAGCTTTCACACCCGCCCATTGTAGGTCAACTTATGTCAACTTGATTTATTGGTGGTGTCACAATCCAAAATTGGCACGGTGTCTTTCCGTGTTTCTTCGGGGTGTCCGTGGCCAATGGGTTTTGACTCAAACTGTGCGTTTCTTTGCACGGCTCAGGGGACGGCCGAGGGCGTCTTGTTGGAATAGATACCTTGTAGATCCTTGTAGTTTAACATAGCTATGCAAATGGATGGGGATGGAAGCGGCATTTTTCTAGATGATTTATATATTGATTTATGATGTATGCCATACAGCTACGTGAAATGACCTCACCGGGTGAATCTTGATCAATCGCGCAATTTTCATCGTGACAAAGACCAATTTTCAAGCTGAAGCTGTGGCCTCAAATCAGTTTTTCTGAAGCTTTTCCGGGGCCTTCTGCTCAGCATACCAGCGAGCGCCTTAAGCTGCTAATTCACCCCTCAGATAGGATTTCGAAGATCAGCCTCCATGATCACGAAAGGTAGCCTAGGCTACTGAGTTCTATGTACTTTAGTACTAGTTTAGTATCCTCCGTGCTACCGGTAATTTTTTTCCTGTGACTCCACTTCGGCGAATAAAAATGCCAAGTCAGGTAAAAATCATCAAAAAATGGATGTCGCAAGGTTGGGGTTCAGGAAAACAAATGTTGGAGCCAGGAAAGCAGGATTAGTAACATAAGGTTGTACCACAGGATTTTATATGTTTCGAAGATTTGCTTGCCAGGATTGCATGGTTTTCCAAACAAGGTTGGGGTACAGGAAAAAATCTCTGGGCCAATCTGTCGAACAGGAGAGGGTAGGATCTACATAAAGGTTGTGATCA